TATTGAACATTTCATGATACCAAAATTTAAAGGTAATTTCATACTCTCTACGCAGTCGGCTTCATAGAGATCTGGCATTAAATGTGTTTCGTTCTCTTTCATGCTACCCTATTTTCTAAAAAAATAAAAACAATCTACCGTTATTAATTAAAAATCCTTTACAGCGAGACTTTTAATATTTTCTAAAAGTTTAAATGTCAAAAAATCAGATATTATATTATATTTTCCAACCCCTGATAATAGACTTCATCGCGCATATGCTTTTCATGATCGTTGGCTGTTCCAATCAGATGTGCGTGAATTTGCCTTGACAACTTCACTTTTTTATAAATTCACCTTGGCAAGATCCAACAATTCGGGGCAAACACGTTTAGTGTCGAAAATGTCTTTTTTTTCAGTTTTTGTGTTCCTGTGTTTATCTCCGAAATTTCAAAAATAATTTGAAACTCATAAAATTCTGAAAATTGCTCAGTTCATTGGATTTTATTTACGGATAACCACGGCGTATACGTAACAATTTTGCCATAGGAATTGCAAATCAGAATTTATTAAAACTGAATCAAATGTTTTCTGCGCCAAAAAGTAAGCTTAATCACTTGCTTGTGGCAGGAAAAAATACTTGTATTTTCAAAATTTACTTAATTAAAGCCTTTTGTATTTTTCCAATATTAAGTACTTACTGTGATTGTAGTGTCTAGAGTAATTAGGAGAATTTCTACGATCTTGGCACTCAGACAATATAACACATTCACTGAGTATAATTTTGAATATTTTTATAATTTTTCTCACAACTAAGCTATCACCGCAAAGGTTGTGAGGAGCGTAGTTTTATGACAGCTTTAGCTTAGTGGCTTAAACTGCCTTACCAGTCTCCTTTAGAATGCGAAAGGAAGCATTTTTTCAGCAGTTTTTTTGAAAGGAAAAGGAAACATGTTTTAGTATCAAAAAAATATTGGTATTTTCCAATGTTGTAATGAGTTTTCTGAAGCGGCTGCTGTCTGAACTCGTGAAACGCTGCCGTCGACGGAGGTCATGCTATGCAACTGAAACAGTCGAACCAATTTTTTTTTTTTTTTAATTGTAATGAGCGTCGCTTCTATATGAATTAAAAAAAATACCGAAGATGTTGGAAAATTCCAAATTTTTTTGGAAGTTTGAAAAAAAAAATTCACTTCAAGTTGCAAAAAAAAAAAAAAATAAATAAATACTTTTGTTCAACTTTTTTAGTTCAAAGAAAAGATAATTTGAAACTGAAGCAAGTTCACTTTTTTTTCGATTATACATACATGCATGTGTATTCTTTTAGCTAAACTCTAGAAAATGCGCTTCAAAGTTCTGCACGAGCATTTGAATCTGCGCTCGACGCACGGCCACTAAAAGTGCTCTAGCTTCTAAAATATTTCGAATTGGCTACTGAAATTTTGAAGACAAATTCTTAGAGAGCTTTAGTTTCGGTTTAAGAAAAAAATGCATTTTTGGAATCATCTACTTTTAGACTGTTGCCTTAAATCGGCTCTCCTATTAAGTACTTTAGCTAATTAACTATTTTTTTTCTTTACCAAAATTTAGCATATTTTTGCAGAAAACATTTGCAGATATAAAAAATGTGTCCGTGCAAGCGCAGGCAGTTTTTTTTTTTTTCATTTCGTAATTTTGTGTTACTATGTACGTATATTGTATAAAGGGAGAATATTTCGCCTGTCATTGTCGTTGAGTCATTTGATATTTGTCATACTAGTTTATTTGTTAAATAAAATAATTTTTATAATTTAAAATAAAACAATTTTTTTTTATATTTTTTTGAATAAAAATGAAACGATTTAATTAAGTTAAATTGCTTACTTAAATTATGTATTATTTTTATTATTATTATTGTATATGCTTTTTCTTGTTCTACACTTGCAGTTGACGCTTGTTTCTTTTTCTCTTTTTTGTAGTTGATATTCGTTGGAAAAAAATATTTAGAAATTTGCTTGTTCATGTTGTTGTATTATACTATTAGTAGTTGCAGTTGGTATATACTATAAACTAAATATGCTTGTGATAACTTCTTGTACAAGATATTAAATAATAATAAAATTAAATTACAATTTAATGCACACAAATAAAAAAAAATTATTTTACTAAAAAAACAAAAAAAATAATACAAACACACACGTACTTGCGAAATTAGTAGTGTTTAAATGGTAGTAGTAAAAATAGTTTTTTTTTTCGTAGTAGTAGTTAAATAAAAAAAAAATAATTACTGCTGTTGTTTGTATTGTAATTTACAGCATTGACAGTGTGATAAGTATGAGACTAAACATGTGCATTTATCGCGCTTGATTTACAAACAATTTCATATTGGCTAATTCTATACTAATATATATGTATGTATGTATACAATAGGCGATGTTATGCACAAACGCCGCATAAACTCATCTCATTCTAACGACTGACTTGTATGCCTTGTTTATTTCGCTCAAAAAATCAATATGGTTCTAACAATTAAGTAAGTTGAAAAAAGTAAGACTTCCAGTTGGTCGCGCATATTATACAGTATATATGCATTAAAAAAAAATTAAATTTAATTAAATTGTAAAATAACTTAAATTAAGCATTTAACACCGTTAAGTAGTTGTCGTAAGTCTGAGCATACAAGAAAATTTAAATAAAATCATAAATATTATGTATGTATTGTATGTATTTAGCGGACTTAAAGGTATGTATGTATTGTGTGTTTGTATGATATATGTATATATATATAGGTAAGTTATACAGTAAAGTTGGCATATTCGAATTTTCACTACTAACTACATATGATGTTGACTAAAAATGAATGTACATATGTATGTGTGTGTGTGTTTTTGTATTCATAAGCACGTTTACAAGGCGTTCTAGGATAGAGTTGTTCTTAATGGTTTTTGGTGGTATATTCACTATTATGGTATTGCATGAAAATGCACAACCAACTGGAAAAAAAAAAAAAAAAAAAAAAAAAAAAAAAAAAAAAAAAAAAAAAAAAAAAAAAAAAAAAAATAGAAAAATGTAAGAGCTTAAATTATTTATAAATGACATTTGCATTACGCACATATTGTGTTTTACTTGTACAATTTGTATTTAAAAAAAAAAAAAAACTTACAAAACAACATTACATACAAACAATATTTCTTATTTTAACTGCTGCTATTGCGTATGAAAAGAAAGCGTGTATTTTCTGAGTAAACATTTTATACACATTTTTCGCTTTGCTTCCACAACGAGTTTAGTATATATTGTGACTGTTTGTAGGTGAGTAAAATTATTTTAAACGTACAATATATTAATTAAAAAATAATAATTTTATAATCATTACATAAAATATTATGCTTTTTTTTTTTGTTTTTTGCAATTTTTCTTTTCTTTTTCATTACATACGTTCCATGTGACAAATACATTTTTTTTTAACATACACTTTATTTGTTTGTATTTTGTTTTATTAAATTTATATTTTTATCTTTTTTTTTATTAGTTTTCTGTATATATATATTTTTATATATGTTTATGTCTATATATATAAATAAATTATTGTACGTTATAACGTTAATAAAACAATTTTTTCTTTAAATTTCTTTACTTTAACTACGCGTAGCTCAAATTTAAATTGCAATCATTTATTTGTATTCAAGGTTGTTGTTGTTTTTTTTTTTTTTTCTAATTTACGCTTCACGACATTTTATTCGACATTTTTTTATTTTCAACTTTAACTGCACGCAACTGGCGCCAACGGATTTTCAGCTCTATCATCAACATCATTGCCCAACGTTTGTTTGTAAGCGAGCAAGTTTGTTCAACGGCACTGGTTATAATTTTCAGTTTATTTTATTTTGTTTTGCTCAATTCTAATACTATTTTCTTTGTTACGCCTTCAGTAATAACTACTTGTAATTACTATGCATTTTTGCGAATTTACGTTTTTAAGCTGCTGTAACGGTGTATACGTGCTGCCTTTTCCAACGAATTTTCTTCATTATATAGTTTATTTTCTTTTCTTCTTTTTTTTTAATGCTTTATGCAGCAAGCAGGTATGTATGTATGTACGCTCGTAAGTATGCTAATGTATGCATGTATTTTTGTATGAATAAATTATTTGCAATTTATTAATGGAGTGAGTTAGTGAGTGCGTGTGTGCCGCATATTTATTACAATTGTATTTTATTAGTTTCCGTTACTAATTTTATATTTATTAATTTATATATACACATATGTATATGTATTTACATATATGTATATATATTTAGATATTAAACGATTATCAAATTCTTTCTTTAATTACTAGCGGTAACAAACAAACAACAAATGCACCAACATATTTTTCATCATCGTCAACATCAGTAATATATGTATGTAGACATATATGCAATTAAGTGTATATAGTAGTCGCAGCCTGCCTTATGTATGTATATGTATGTATTTATTTTTATTATTATTATTATTATAAATCGCTTTTGTTTTTGTTTCTGTTTTTGTTTCTCATTTTTCAGTTTTTATTCGTTACAAACGTATTTTCTTCCATAGTATTTTATTTTTAGTTTCATATAATATATTGTATTTGTTTTTGCAACACGCTGTCGCATCCAACAATCACCAACTTGAACAAACAGCCATAGACACACGTTTACACATACCCACAAGTCGCATACATATACCGCACGACCAGCCCGCAGGCGGGTGCGTTTAAGAATTTCCATTGATTTGCTTAAGGCTGGTGTGGTTTAGGCGTAGGCGTCGGCACCGGGTTTTCTTTATGCAATTAAAAAAAAGAAGCATTTATGCTAACAACAACAACAATGACAATGAATTTTTGCTATGTTCAACTGCTCCTTCCCTTGCCATTGTCATTTTGCTGTTATGTTGTTCTTGTAGTTGTAGTTTCAATGTGCTGCATACGCTTTTCATTTGCATATATGTATGTACGAGTATGTGCTTCTTAGTGAAATAAAACAAACAATCATTGGCTGTATAAGAGTTCATGTTGTCTGTGTTTTTTTTTTTTTTTTTTAATTTTGTTCTCATTGTTGTTGGCGACTTTTATGTACCAACCAACCAACTATCCATTCATCCATTCATATTCATTTATGGTGATGTTCCTTTTCAATGCGCGTTCAATGCGTTGCAAAATCAGTGCGTTTGCTGTTGATGTTGATTTGTTGTTGATCTCGAGACTGGTCGACAACGTACTCGAGGCGGCAGTGTCCATGTCGTCGTGGCTGTTGGTCATAGAGATTCTTTGGATGGTACCCAAATGATTGGTCCCGATTGTGACCAAATCATCGCTTTGACTTTACTGTAGATCTCTTCGATGGTGTCGCCTTGAACAACTCCTGTGTTTGAAATTGAAGTAGAAGAGAAATTATATGAATATTATATAATATAATATATTTTTGGTTAATACAAATTACCCATCGAAACGGCAACTAACCTGTGAAATATTCGCCGAATTCTTGTTCCATCTTTATCGCGCGTTCGTACGTTTTCTTCGCTTGTTCCTCGGTCATGCGTCGATTCATTTCCCTGTAAATAATATATACATTAATATATAATTATATAATTTCGTTTTACTGACCACAAAGAGTTTAAGTTTAGGTCAAATAGGTTTCATTTTTCACTAAAGAGACATAAAAGTTTGAGTAACGACTTAAGTACATTAGTTCTGCATCAGGGAGGAATGGATTAATAACTAGTTAGCAGTGTAGAAATATGCATTAAGAGATCGAGAGGAGAATCAGTTTCACGATGGAACTCTCATTCAGGCTGATATAACATTGCAGTGTTTTTCAGGGTAGTATATATATCATCATGAAGCCATCTATCTAAGTGATTTGAAATCAACTGTTTGAAGAGTAGGTGAGTGTAAATCAGCCAACAATAATATCTATAGTTAACTGAGACAATTTTCTGGGAGAAAGAAGAAATTTGCAAAATGGCCGAGCTTGCTATGCCACAATCTTCCTCAATAAAGAAAATATATATGTATGTAGGTATGTCAAGTGCTACGCCGAAATGTGATAGGACCAGATCACATCTTAATAACCGTGCATAGCTCCATGATAATGGGAGTTCTGACAGCCCAATGTCTGAAAAGACGGCATGCAGAGAAACTCAGAGCTTTGTGGAGTTGTAAAAATGCTAAGCAGAAAGTCTTCACTAATTTTCTACACGATTTGGGACGATATTTGTATATTTCTATATATCTATATTTATAAAAGAATGCAAGTGGTTATAGCATCTCAATGGGCCTGATACTGACCTAACCTAACTTAATGGTTTCATTAGAGAACGCATGCGTTTCCATTTTTGCTGCTTTGACGGGCTACGACTAGAAGAAGAAGGGTATTAAATGTGGTTAATATCTTGCCGGCAGGTTATACATCGAAGTCGAGTTTCAATAAATCGAAATTGAGTTAATATACAAACTTTAATAGAAACACGAGACTTGCGAGGAAGTTTGTTTACCCGAATCGGTTTTTGGGTTATATTGCGAATGTTGGACGGATAAAAATCCGGGTTGTTCCGATATAAAAAACCTGTTTGTTGCGAAAATTATTCGATTATAGTCGCCTCTTACGGCCGTTACTTGAATCTCTGAACCACAGGAGAGGCAGCACAAAGTCATCGTCAGCTATGGATGGCGATTGGATTCCGATGAGGTCGCACAAGGCAAAAGTCAATCAAGATTTTGACTGATTCACTATGAATATCGTTTAGGGCCTGCCAGTAGCACGTCCTGCCCAGCGATTCTGTGATATTATGCTGAATGGAGTACGTCAGTCAAGTCAAGTACTCTCTTCGTGATATGTGCTAGAGAATGAATCAGCTTCTAGCAGGTGTCGCCAAGCATGATACCAGCAGATACTGCTTGCTGCGCGATACTGCGTGGGAGCATAGAAGTTTCACTATGCAAATGATGTACAGCCGACATAAAAGGGCAGTTTCTGATAGTGTCCTCAGGGCGGTGTTCTGACAGGAGTTTTTCTTCTCCATGGGTCTCGTTTGGCTCGATTACCTTTTTTGGTTGAGAGATTTTGTAAACAGGCGGAATATCGATTTTGACATTCCTGTCGAGCCAGTACTCCCTCGTAAAACTAGTGTTCTTATTGTAAGTGCTGCTGAGTGAAAAGGTGGGAAATATCAGAGACATAAGAGTCTATATTTGAACAAAGGTTTTCAATATCCTGATAAAATGCCAATATCAGCGACGTGCTCGGTGTATAAGAATAAGGAGGCACTCCTGGCTGTAGAGAGAGCTTCGAAAAGTAAAAACGAAACAATAGCGGGGGAGTTGGAGTTGATCAGGATTTAATTCAACCAAAGGCTGACTCCTTTTTAGTATCCATATTTCGGTCAAGATGTAATATAAGGGGATCTTTTAGAAAAGGCGCACCAATAGCTGAGTGATTAGCATTGCATACTACCATACGGTCCCGGGCCGACCAACATATAAAATAATATAAACTTAAAATTTTAATTGCGGTCGCCCCTCCGCAGGGAATGTCAAGATCATCCGAATGTCTAAATTGTTGTTGCAACATAAAATTTAAGCTTTAGACTTACATTATTGAGTCCACCGATTTCGGTTTGATAAATATAGCAATCGGATATAGTTGAGCAACTTGTAAACGCTTAATGGCATTGCCCGAAACATCTAAAATGCAGTGTTTACCCTTCTCCGCCACCTCACGTACACTCGCCACCGATGTGCCATAGAGGTTGTCATTATATTGACCCGCTTCGATGAATAGATGATTTTGTATATCGCGTTCCATTTGCTCACGTGATGAAACAAAATGATAATCACGACCATCCACTTCGTAATCGCGTTTTGGTCGAGTCGTATCTGAAGAGGAAGGCAAATAAATTATGAATAAAATTATAAATATTTAATAATATATGTATGTATCATAGCATTTATGTTGGTTTCACACTTACGTGGCACACATGAGCCAAATTTCTCTGGATACTCCGATATAAGATCATCATTGATGCGATCCTTTAATGGGCCGAGCACGATTACCGGTCGTGTATAGTTAATAGATAACCGTTGTACGGCCTCATATGATAACACATTCTCTTCGGATGCTGTAAGATATGTATAAAAAGTGATGTCATGACGGTAATGAAGTATGGAAGTTATGAACGAAAAGAAAAATTGATGTTTTCAATGCAAAAATATGCAATTGATATAACATTTGGGCAAAATAAAAATCATATACATATATATAGACAATCATTTAAATATATATTATTAAGTTCTAAGTATTTGTTTATTTTTTACTATTTGTTGCAAAAAAAAATTTCTTCTACAACCATGTTAACGAACCACTAGCCCTTTCCCTAACGCTTTTTGTATAGCATTTTCTTTTTAATTTAATTTAATTTAATTGCGTTATTTATAATATATTACTTTTCTCCTTTTTACTTTTAGCATTCACTTGCTTGGCTAAAAAATAATAATTTATAATTAAATGGTTTAGTATTAGGTTTATATATATATATATAAAATTTTTACAATTTAAAATGTAATTAACTAAATTATTTTTCGAAAGAGCAAATAAATAGTTTTTAAATAATTTTTTTTGTTGTGTTTGCACTAGTAGGCTAAACACAAAAGGCAACAGAAACAACAAAGCGCGCAAACGAGATACAATAACACTAATACATTTCATAAGGACAATTCAAAATTAATTAATAATAATAATTTTTTGACTGAAAAAATTAATAAATGAAATTATAATAAAATACATATATATTGAACTTGTTGTACCACATTTAAAAATTAATACATGTATGTATATATATTTTTATTAAACACTGCGATAAATCTATAATAAAAAAGTTTTTTGTTCAGCTCGAAGAAAATGAGGTTAGAATTCCAACAAACATGGATATTCAGTGGATAATGCGCACCCTCAGAGACACCGTACAGTGCGCGCATTGAATACGCTATTGCGGAACAGAGTATCGAAGAAGACTCGAATGAGTCCAACCGCCAACGAGCGCAACAGTTCGAGCTGTCCCCGTCTACTTTATGGAAAATTTTACGAAAGGATCTCGCTTTGCGTGCTTACGAAATTCAACTCATGCAAGAATTGGAGCCGAACGACCATCAAATGCGTCGCTCATTCGAGATGTCACCGATGCCGATTTCTATACGAAAATTTCAACGAAGAAGCTCACGTTTGACTGAATGAGTGCGCTAGTGACTTCTTCGTGTCTGAATTGAAGAATGTTTACGTGGACGATCTTTGGTTACCTTTTTTGAAGGCAACTTTTGAAGGTGAACATTATAACGCCTGTGCCATGGACTTCTAAGATCATGCGATTTAACACAAATGAATTTGTTTTTTGAGGCTATGGGAAGCGGCTTGTCTACGCAGATAAACACAAACGATGATTGACGTCTTGGAAGAGAATATTCTTACATGCGGACCCGATTGCTGTAAAAACTGGTCGAAAATTGAGCCCCTCGTTTAAAATTTTTTTCGATCCAGCTGCGGCGGCCACTTGCTCGAAATCATTTTTGAAAGATAGTGACAAAGCCTTTATAATAATGAATAATTCTTGGCCAAAACATGTCTCATGTCAGACAAAAAAATTACACATTTACAATGAAAAGGTTAAAAAAAAAAAAAAATTTACGATAAAATTTTCATTTCATTACTGCGGATATCGCAGAAATACAAACAATTTTTTTTTTATCTAAACAGACTAAAAATTACAGCGGCCGCGGTAGCCGAGCCATTGCCAAAAGTTATCGAAAATATTTCACTTCATCAGCTCTTCGGAAACGACTTAGTAAAGACTGCAGATACCTCTTTTTGTTCGAAAAACAGCAAGAGGCATAGCACAAATTGGAGGAGGAGCTCTGCCGTAGATCGCTTTGGCAACCATAAAGCTCCAATTATATATAGAAGACTTACAGAACTATCTAACGAGACGACAGAAAAAACGTCCGCTTGTTAAAGATTCAAGAATTTACCCGATGTTAGACATATCTGCCGTAAAAGGCTACAAAAATCTAAGAGATCTCACAAGATACGGGTATTTGTACCATAACGACACTGATTTCTATATGGCAAAGGACTGACATTCCCGAAATATGCACGAAGAGCAATATGGAGAATATTTTTTTTTTCGGTTACAACAACAACATATATTAAAAAATAATAATAATAATTATTATTATGAATTTCTAACCTCATTTTTTAGAATTTTACGAAAATTCTTTTTACGCACAGGCACACATACTTCTTTCACAGCGATAGATATTTTTTTTTAAACTATATATATTTTTGTATTAAAAACTATAAATATTTTTGTATTAAAAAACTATATATATTTTTGTTAAAAAAAAAAAAAAAACAAAATGGTCATAAAATAATTACAAATAAACAAAAACAAATTTTCCATACACTGAGTAGTTCATAAATCGTTTTCTAATCAACTTTCATACAACTTTAAAAACTTAAATAATAATTTATTTTCCCTAAACTAGCTCTAGTAAATCAAGATCTAAAGAAAGGCAGCTAAAGCGACTACGCTTAGCGTATATTTCTCTGAAATTTTTTAGGCACGCAATACATTTTCTTAATATTTTTTTTCTGTGAAATTATAAAATTTATTAAAAAAAAATAATTAAAAATTGTAAAATACATTCAACATGCTTACAACAACAAAATAATAAAATAAAATATTCGTATTACACAAAACACTTTTTTTTTGCATTTCCATGGCATGGTATGTATTTTTACATAAATTAGTTCCAAATTCGATTTCTAGCGCTACAACTGATTTTAGTTTTTAATATTTGAATTCTGCTTTAATTTGTGAAATCTCATAAACTTTTCTGCTAAAACAGTATGATAATGGCGTCTTCCTTGCATTGAGTGGATATAAAATTTACTTATACCATTATAAGTTGAGTGTAATTTCAGCATATAAATTGTTGCACTAGTTCGTTATGGACTAGTATCAAACCAGTTGCTGCATACTTCTTTGATAATTTTACTTTTGTTTTATATTGAAATTTTCAGTAAAACTTTATTCACAACACCACACATTCGCCGAGATTGGGTGCATGGAACAACAAGCAGAGAATGGCGATTTTTCGAAAAAAAATTTCTTCAGCGACGAGACACATTTCTCACTCGACGGATACGTGAATAAGCAAAATTGTCGCGTTTGAAATGCCGAGAAACGTCAAATAAATAAAGAGAGACTATTACACCAGAAATAAAAACTTTACTGTCTAGTGCGCTCTTTGTTCTGAATGTGTGATCGGACCTTACTTCTTTGGAAACGACAATTGCGATTATGCCACTGTCAGCTTGGGCCTTTTTGTTTTGCCTGCAATTGAAGAACAACAACTGGACAATATGTGGTTTCAAAACGACTGTGACATGCTACGTAACACGAGTGAATTTGGCTTTAATGCGAGAGAAATTTGCCGGTCGCGTAATCTCTCTCCTTGGCAATGTCGGTTGGCCACAGAGGTCGTGCGATTTGACAATATTTGGACATTTTTTTTAGGGGGTACGCGAAATACCCTGCCTATGCGGAAAAACCTAAGATTCAGTACTGGAAAACAAAACATTCGTCAAGTTATGGCTGAGGTACCGTCAAAAATGTACCAAAAAGGGGTCGAAAATTACCTCAAACTGATCGAAGTTTGAAAAAATTCGCGAGGCGGTTATTTGATGTTTTACCTCGCACTGCTTCTTGAAAGACATCATAGGAAGAGATTTTTGTAATGTATCAGGTGTACAACTTTGCTTCCGCCGTTTTTTTCCAAAAATAAAAGCTTTATTCCGAAAAAGTGCTTACAGATATATTATTCAAAGTATTGTCCTTCGCTAGCGACAACTCTCTTCCATCCTTGCGGCAATTTTCGGATCCCAGCTCGAAAAAAGGAGTCCTCTTTTGACGCTATCCATGATGCAATCCATTTTTACAATTCTTCGAAGGATTAAAAATGTTGATCTGCCAGGCCGTACGGAATAGGTGGAAGTCAGAAGGGGCGACATCTGTGAAATACGGCGGGTGGGGCAAGACTTCCTATTTCAGCGTTTCCAGGTACTTTTTGACCACTTTTGCGACGTGAGGCCGAGCATTGTCGTGTTGGAGGATGACTTTGTCATGTCGCTCTTGATATTGTGGCCGCTTTTCTTTTAGCGCGCGACTAAGGCGCATCAGTTGCGTTCGGTAGCGATCTCTTGTGATGGTTTCACCCGGTTTTAAGAGCTCGTAGTAAATCGCACCGAGCTGAACCCACCAAATCTCTCTTCCAAGACCATGTTTGTCTTCGAGATCGAAATCACCGTTTCTTTCTTTCACTCAGAGCAGCATCACCGTAAGTTTCTGAGAGCATTCGATGCGCTTCAGCTGCATTTTTTTCGAATTGTAACAGAAAAGTAAAACTTCCCGCAAATGGCGCGAATTAGGCACATAAACGGACATTTTCGAGCGTGAATAATACGAAAACAAGAACAACTGTCACTGAAACGGCGATGACAATTTGTTAGGCACTGTCCACACTCACCTTTAAGGCATTATCATCTGTGTATTTCAACCAGCCTCAGCCGGTACAGCCACCTATCGGAAAACGGCGGAAGCAAAGTTGTTGTTATGAATAAAATTATTTTAAATACTTTTCTTTTGCGTATCGTATTTTCGAGACCGCAAACTGGATTACCGGTAATATTTTCCTTTCAGATTTTGAACATATTACGGCCTTTTTTTTTAGTAGTCGTTCAGAGAATAGATTAAATAATTTGTAATTTAATTGTATATTTGTTCATAAGAGAGGAATTAACTACTGAAAAAAAATCATTACATCTTAACTGGCTACAAGGAGAACACTACAACTGCTCCCTGTTTCAAAACAGTAAATATTCAAACTAAGCAAAATGCAATCCTTTTTGTATTCCTTGCTTTATATAAAGAAAAAAGTCGACTACTTTAGAGCGGATGGGTGGGTTGGAGCTACAATAAGAGGTTGCAAGACATTCAACCAACAGAACTCTTACTAAATAGATCTAAATAGATAATACATATATATGTATGTAAGTATGTACATCACAAATTGTGGTTAAGACAAAACGAGAAAAAAAAAACAATTATTAATTAGAGATGCAATTATCTAAAAAAACAACAAAATGCACAAACATAATCCGAAAACAATCAAAACTATTGGAAAACATACCTAAATTAAAAAAAAAAAATTTAAAAAAAAAATTAAAAAAAAAGATTAAAAAATAAAATAAAAAATAAAAGAAAATAAATAAAGTGTAAAATTTTCTACGGTTTTCACACTACGTTTTCCATAGGCAATTTCGGTGGTGTTTTGTCAAAAAGGGTTGTGGTGTTTTGAGAACCTAAAAGAGGGGCGCTAAAGAAAAAGACAAACAGAAGAGTTGCTAAACTAGACTACTACGTCATACAGAGGTAACGAGCGCGAATAAGGCTAAAAAGGTGGGCAGGTGATGGTGAGTGGATAGATTTTACATACACAAAAAAAAGGGCAAGTCAAAACATATATGTATATATGTATGCAATGTAATAATGTAAGGCCTAAAACAAGACAAAATTGTAAGCCTCACATTTTTTTCCGGTATTTTTTTTTGTTTTGCTGTCGCAACACTTTGCAGATTTTCGCACAAAATACAAAGCGAAACAATTTTGAAAATATAATCCAAAATAAAAACGAACTTCAACTACGTGTGTGTGTGTGTGTGTGGATGTGTGGCGTGGTTTGTGTGTGTGTACGAATATGTTTCAACACTGTGTTGGGAGTTAGTTTATGGACTCGGTGTTGGGACGCTGTTGTACTAAGTGGAATTTCGTGTGGAGACGAGCAATGAAACAAGTGAACAAGAACATATGCATAGGGAGCGTATAAACAAGGAAAACAAAACAAATGGAGAGAGAACAAAACGAACTGACAACTGACGAATAAACCAATCCAAGCATGGACGGTAGGCAACACTAATTGGGTTGTAAATTAAAAAAAAATTACAAAAAAAAAAATTATAATAAATGGAAAATAGTAGAACATGAAAATAGGACAAGAACTTGTAAGAAAAATAGAGTCAAAGTCGTAAAATAAGTTGGTACAATTGGAAAGAAAGTAAAGACACAAGTAAATTCAAAACTTTTTAACATAAAATTAAGGCGCATATTTTAAAAATGGTTTTCTATTATTCGCTATTTCAATTTGTCATTATGAAAAAAGGCACTTGCAAGTGGAAAAAGGAAGAAGAAAGTACAGAAAAATGCAAACATTGAAGGTTGCGGGCAGTTGGGAGCAAAAAAAAAATACTACAAATCAGAAAAGAAGCAGTTGCTTAACAAAAAAAAAAAAAAAAAAAATAATAATAATAATAAAAAAAGTTCAAGCCAATACTGCAACAATAACTGTTAATATATAACTTGTGTTGATCTGTTGAACACAACTGTAACGCAATTTTTTCAATTTTTTTCCAAAAAAAATATAATCGATAGAAAAATTATTTATTTTTATTTAAAAAAAAAAATCGAAAAACAAAAACGTGGCAGCACTCAAAGAATATATGAGGCAACACAAATCAAGTGGTGTGTGGCATAGTGGAGTGGAGTTGAGAAAAAAGTAAACGAAATATAAAGAAATGCACAATCGTACGAACGAACAAACGTACGAAGTAACGAAACGAAACAAACCAGTAAGAAGACGCTTAAAGAAAAAAAAAAAAAACAATTTTTTTTAACTATATTTATCGAAATTAAGAGCACATAATACTGTCATTTTAATATTTTCTTTCTTTAATGTATGCTTATAACTCGATTTACTACGCTTTCAACAAATTCTTTTACTTTTTTTATATGTATTTTTTTTTTTAATATTTTTTTTTTCTTTCTTGAAACAACACAAAAGCTTTAACATAAAATACTTGTTTTCTTTGGGTACTTCTGAGTTGCTAAGCAATTTTTTCTTTACCTTAAACAAACAAACTAACTAACGGTAAATACTTTGTATGTTTCACTGGATTATTAAAAATTGCTTTAACAATTTCCGCTTTTTTTTAACTGTATTCATTAAAATCTTCAAACATTTTTCAATTTTCATAAATATTGGCACTTTTTTTTGGAAATATAATGTATTTTTTTTCCTTTCTGCTCATAATTTTTAATGTTAATAACTTTGAAATTTTTTCATTTTATTGTTTTTAACTTTTTTACTTTTTTTTTTGATTTTTGTAAAATTTTATTTATTCAGCCGCTGAACTTACGATAGTCAGCATCGTTATTCTCCAAATAGATTAATGTTATCTGCTCCATGTCTGGCAACTCCACACGGTAGATAATTTCGGCTGTTTATTGCAGCGTTGATGTGTTGTTGTTGTTGTTGTTTGGATGTGATAGGTTGTGGTGGTGGTGATTATTAATTAGACCAACCGTTGCGTAAAATTTGGTTGTTGTTTTTGTTGGTGGTAATTAGAAAAATAGTAGTAGTAGTAGTAGTAGTAGTAGTAATAGTAGTGGTAGCAGTAATAATTGTTGTTGTTGTCGTTGTTTTTAAAATGTTTGTTAATTGTAGTAATAGTAGTAGTAGTAGTAGTAGTAGTAGTGACGCCAAATAGTAGTAGAAATGGTAGTAGCCGATTTTGTACGTAATCCAACCATAAGAGTTCATTGTTATCAATCCGCATTCGCATTCATTGCATTGTTTCATTTACATCGCAGTAGTAGATATAGTAGTAGATAAGTTCGATTCATTTCGGCCATTTGTTGTTTAACGAAATTCGTTTTTGTTTTTTGTGTTTTTTTTTTCGAATTAAAACATTACAAACAATCAATCAATAAATCGATCAATTTATCGTTAACGATTGTAAAAAGAGAGTAGAGTTGCGAACGAGCGCAGTGGTTGAAATAGTAGTAGCATAGCAGTAGTAGTAGTAATAGTAGTATGTGTTTGGTAAGTGAAGTATACACAAGTAGTAGTAAAAGTAGTGACGGTAGAGTAGAGTAGGAGTAGAAAAATACGACAAAGTCAAAAGAAAAAAGAAATCTATTATTTCTGTACATTTTTTAACGGTGTAGAATTTTTTTTTTTCATAATTATTTCAAATCAATTCAATTTATTGAATGTGGTTTAATGAATACGAATTTTGAAAATGTGAAAAAAAACGATAAACGAATTTTTGTTTGTTGTAAAAATAGTTTGCATGTATGTATACGAGTATATGTATGTATGTAAGTGTGTATGTTTAAAATTCGATTTTTTTCCAATTTCAAAAATACCACTAATTCGCAACTAAACATTGAATTTGCAACAAAATTATACAAAACATATATTTATTTATGTATGTGCGAGTATGTAGGGGAATCAACAAAGACGGTAGAGATAAAAAACATGAAGAAGAAACAAAATAAAAAATAACACAAAATTTAGGAGCGCAATGAAAGAAGTGAAGAAGAAAAACTAAAAAAAAAAAATAAGAATCCTAATAACCAAAGCAATTATATTACAATTAGAAAAAACATAATAATATTTTTATATGCCGAGTATGCTATGCTACATTATTCATACTGACCATGTGATACTAGTAGTGGCGGAGAGTAGCGTACAAGTATTTATAGGGGAGTCAGTGGAGCAGTGGGTACAACAGCTGTGGTGGCAGGCATCCCTTACACAACTCTATTTTTCGCCAACTATTATAAGGTACACAAAATTTTCATATATAAAACTAAGTTTTAATTAATGCCCCTACAAATATGCAACACAAGTCTTATTACTTTAGAATACTTTACGCTTGCTACGGCGCACTTGTAGGCGCCAGAACGAGTTTTATATATGAAAATTCTGACACTGCTAGCCTTGCTACATATTCATATACAACTTAATTTGAGAAAAAATTATATTACTGTAATTAGATTATTCCTGGCTTCGTACTTAATTTCAATTTCAACAGAGTGTTGTACGCAGAGGGCTTTGCATTAGAACTGGGTGAAAGGCATGTGTATGTGTGATAGCTCAATTATAAGTACAATAACTAAACTATTTGGAGAAAAAACATAAAAATAAAATAAATGAAAATTTTTTGTGAAATATCAATCACAATGAATCGCTTAAAGGCACAAGCCCACAAAACAGAAGTCACGTTGGTAAAGTTGCAAGGAATATTTAATTTTTATTTTTGTGAGCTTAAGCATTAGGCAATGCGCACACGTTCAATAAAGTAATTAAGTAATTATAAAAAAAATTAAAAATTATTTAAAACATATAATAAATATCTTAAACCATTATATAATAAATTTAAAAATATTTTTTCTTATATAGAAAATTTTAAAATTTATTTACCAAATGACGGTGAAGTAGCCAGATCGCCAGGCCTAACTAAGAGCCTTATACTATAAAATCAAAGACCCTAGAGAACTGCCGCAAATCACTAAACGTGATAGCCAAACAGTTATCTTTGAAAGTGGGATGGCTACGAGGACGTAACAGCATACCAGGTAATGGTGCCACAGCTGGCAAGCAAAGGCGCTTCCCTTCCACTTTCGCCGTCAGAGCAAAGTCTGAGCATGCCGCTCTCCACTCTTAAGCTCATCAGAGGAGAGCCATTAATCGTAGATGCGTATTTAGAATGGAAAAGTCTCAGTCACTGCACTGTAACTAGAATAATTTTCCATACTTGGAAAAGATGAAGAGAGTTCATTCTGTTCTGTACCGGGGCATCTACTTTTAAGTAGGCACGCATAAGGACTGGGCGTACCATCAATGATTTCTGCACGCGTTATAAAAAAGAGTACGATTCAGAGATATTAAGACGAGTGCCCCGCACTTTGGAGAAGTAGCATGAGGTCTATAGGGGCGACAACCTTTGGAGAACTCCACACATTGGTTTATGGGACTCTCAATGGTATCTCTAATTGGTGCCCGGAATGCAGATTGCAAAAATTCATGTATTTTGAAGAAGACTTTATCAACATTAATATTTCTAAAATGCAATTGAGAGGGTAAAGACGACCGAAGGCCCCAAGGAACAGTATCCTCAAACAACAAAAACGTATGTACTTCAGTAGTTCATGAAATTAAAAGGTTATTGAGCAGTGAACAAGTTAATATTTCCACTCATATCTTAATTATCATTTCGATTCCGATTAAGGTTAAGCGAGAGTTTAATGGGGCTAGACCTATTTGGTAGGCTAGTTTGTAGAGACATAATATCTTAGAGCGGCCTATTTTCGCCGCTTCGCTAGCAGATTTTCGGGCTTACAAAATCAACCTCTCCAAGAATTGAAGGCGACCGACCACCAAACGCGTCGCACTTTCGGTAAATGTATCGAAAACGAGATGGCCTACGCTTTGTTCAGCAGTTAAGCTCACTCTTAGTCGAATTGGTACGTTAATAACCAAAATTGACGCATTGGGAGTGATGAGAATCCACAAGCTGTTGTTGAGATACCATTACTTAATCACAACACTGTTTGGTATGGTCTATGGGCTGATTCCCTCTCTATTACCACATATTTCCCTAAAACTGAAACGGGCCAAAATGTTACGATCAATATGGACAATGCCTTGGCAGGTATGAACTGTGAATTAGACAATATTGATGTGGACGACTTTTGGTTCCAACAAGACGGCGCTACATGACAGGCAGCCACAGAACAATTAATTTATTGAAGGAGACTTTTGGTGAGCGCGATATATCACGTCATGTGCCTGTAGTGTGGCCTCCAATTTCGTGCAGTTTTACACCGCTGGATGACTACTTTTTGCTGGAAAACGTGAAAACGCTTGTCTATGCTGATAAGCCCGAGACGACTGATGCCTAGAAAGAGAATATTCGGCGCGTTATTACCGACATACAGCTCAAATCGCAGCAGAAAGGGGTCAAAAACTGGTCCATTCGGCTGGAGATTATTCGAGCCAGCCGAGGTTGTTTGGCCGCAATAAATTTTTAAGACAAAACTTCTTGGCCACATGTCTAAAAAAAACATGCTTTCGCTAGTTGCATTTAGGATTTCCGACTTCAACAAATGGGATTTTTTTTCCATTCGTAACAAATTGGCCTGAATCCAGCTTGCTCTAGGGCCGGAGCAAACAATGTTTATGGTGGTATTCTTTGGTTTCATAAAATGTTTAGTACAATATACCGAAATTTAGGTCTACGTAAGGTAACTTCTTGTAGAGAAAACTTTTTGAGAAGTGTTGTTTCAGATTTTTTTTCTTTCTTTTTCTTTAACAGAGGTTTTCCTGTTATTTAATTTTCAAGCTGACTCTGAACTGAAGAACATTTTTTTTTAATTTCTTAAAAATTGCTATATTTAATAAGTAATGTATATATGTGGCACACACTTCCATATGCTTTATATTAATTAACACATGCTCTTACGTCACACTGTCACAAAGAGTGTTCTCATAAAGCCATTACTTTCACCAAGACCCATATGGCAATTTTCAACGGCACATCAAAAAGGCTGTCGAAAAGCTTTTATTTCAGAGAAACGGAAACATAAAATACACAAATGCACAACATTCTCAAAAGAACACACAAAAAAAAAAAAGAGAAAAAATAAATTAAATAAGCAAATAAATAAAAAATGGCAGGGGATAAATAAATGGATAAACAAATCGCTGGAATTTGCTGGGCCAAAAGCAAAAATTACGATACTGGCGAATTACGCACAAATGCAGCAGAACAAGAAGCTAAGCAGAAAAAAGGGGCAAGTAGGCGGCGTGTGTATTTTGGACATTAAGAAGATCGCCAATAAATTTATAGTAAACAGATGTTGTATGTACTAAACTATTCAGATCATTTTGTCGTAAAATCTGAAGACCATAAGCACTTTGACTGTACGTGGAAAATTTCATACGAGAATAATCATTTTCTTTGCTCAACTGAGGAATATATGTATGTATGTACTCGTGTATAAAGAAGACGACGTACTTTGTTAAACCTGTATGTTGTTGTTATTGTTTTTTTTTTTGTAGCCAGTAGAGTAGAGGAGTGGACAAAAAAAGACATTAAGTAACGGAGTGAACACTGTCCGCTTATACTCATATATGTATGTATGTATGTTGTTGATGTGTAAATTAACAGAAAAAAAAACGTAATGCATACGACATAGAAAAATGCAATATTTGTTATTTTATATATCAAATATGCATGATTTATATTTATACTATTTTTAGTACTTAAAAATATTTAAGATAACACTTTAAAATCAATAATTAAATAAAACTTTTTTCTTCATTGAGTTCGAACGCATACTGAGTAAATAAAAATAATAATAATTATTTAATTATCTACATATTTACACACTGTTTAATATGACTGTATGACTGCGTATTAATTGAAGAAAAAATATATGTACTATTATATGTATTGTATAATATTATAAAAAAATACAAAAAAATTTAAAAAAAATACAAAAAAATGTGTATATAAAAACAGATATTAAAAAATGTATAAAAAAAATTATAAACAAAAATGTTAAAAATTATAATAACATATAAATATATGAATAAATATTAAAAAAAAAATATAAAAAAATATAAAAAAAATATAAAAAAATGTAAGAAATTATAATAAAATATATAAAAACAAATATTAAAAAGAGTATAAAAAAATATTAAAAAATAATAAATATAAAAATTGGAAAAAATTATAATAAAATTTATAAAAACAAACATTAAAAAAAGTATAAATTAAAAATTAAAAAAATATATAAATAAAAAATGTAAAAAATTATAATAAAATATATAAAAACAAACATTAAAATAATATAAAAAAAAATATTTTAAAAAAATTAAAAAAATAAAAAAAGTTGCTTGTTCTTTTTAATTACAAACTGTATGCATAAGTGTAATGAGTATATTAACGCATTATTAAATTACTCGACCGCTATTAGCAAAACTTCACACGAATTAAGAACAGAATTAGAAACTAGCCGCCTGTTCAATTACGAGGGAGCGTTTTAATGCTCGCGGGATGGAGAATATTTTTCCCTTTCAATATATTCACCAACAAGACGGATACATTTTTCATATTTTTCAATTAATTTATTTATACCCTCATAAGAAAATGTTTTCCGTTTATCTTCAAAAAAATGTATTTGTGAAGCTACCATGAAAATTTCAGATAAATCGATATAATAGGGTCTGAATAATCCTGTCCTCACAGTTTGAAAAATGTGATTTTGAGAGAAACGCGTTTAAAGTTTTCATTGTACTCAGCGCACGCTCTGAGAGGCTTTAAGCGCAACCAAAGAGTCTACAATATTCAGATATTAATTGTGCTTGTGAGACTGTGTAATAGGCCTCTTGAGACTCAGGACAGCCGGTGCTATTTTATCTGGCCAAAAGCTATGACCCTTTCGCGACCTTACCCGTTTAGGTTATCAGGTCATTTTAGATATTCTTTCTCTGTTTTTTTGATTTTAGGCGAACAAAAGTTGATATACATATGTATAAAAATCATAATAATAAAATAATAATAATAATAATAATAATAATAATAATAATAATAATAATAATAATAATAATAATAATAATAACAAATAAATAATTAAATACTAAAAAAAATATTTGTCTTAATGTTTAATGTTGTAAATAATCGTAATAAATAATTAATGAATATAACTGTCTACTTTGTCAAGAAGTTAATAAATTGCTAAACTAAGTTTTATGTACGCATGTGTATATGTATGTTTGAATGTTCAATAATATTAAAATAAAAATAAAAATATTGTTTGATTAAAAACTTTGGTTAGTCGTACATCGCACTATATGTATGTATGTACATGTAAAGTATGTAGTAAATACTGTAAGATGTTATCGGCGCCCAATTGCTCATTTTGTGAATTAAGACCTACATAATACGTGAGTATCGGGTAGTCAAAGTCAAAGAAAATACAAACTCTTATGTGCTATAGGATATACGAGTATGTATGTATGTATTTATAAAAGTAAGTTGGTAATAAATAAGTCAATCAAAATTTACACAAACAAAAACTAAACAAGATTAATATACAATATTAAAGGAAATGAGTAAATATATATGGAATGTACTATATATGTATGTATGTATGAGCTACAGTACAAAATAAATCATTACATTATTAATTTATTATTATTAAAAAAAAGGTAGTAGTAGTAGTAGTAGTAGTAGTATGTTGTAGAGATAACGAGTTGTATAGAGTAGTTGTAGTATATATATATATATATATATATTAAGTAGTATATTCATTTATATACATATATATATATATATACCATATAAAAAGTTATATTCAAGTAGTATGTGGTAAACGGTTATTTAACAGTAAATTAACTGGTACATACCTCCTTCAGCATTGGCATCGTCTTGTGTGTAGCAAAGCATAAAAGCTAGAAAATTAAAGAATTAAGAAGAGATTTCTTTCAGTTAAAAAAGAACAGCAGCAGTAAGTAGAAAAACACAAAAGAGTAAGTGGATCGTGGAACGTGACTCGTGTTGGATATTGACTGGTAGGTACTGTTTATATTGGAATGGGTGGCAGGAGGAAATGAAAATTTTGACTGTGAAATTCACGCAATATGTTTTTATGGGTCAAATTAAAAAAAAAATAAATCCGTAAAATTTTGTCTAATGAAAATCAGTAAAAAAAACAAAAAAAAAAACAGATGGCAATATCAAATGTATTTTGTGTTATATTCCAGCAATGAATGGACTTCATGTTTTGAAAATTTACTTTCAAAACAAATAATCTAGTGTTTCTAGATAATGTCTGTGGAATTATTCGCAACTTTCATATGTATATATGTATGTAGGTACATTTTAGAAGAATTTTGTATTGAAACGTTTCACTGCTTTAAAATATTAAATTTTTCTTTTTTTCTTGGTAGGAAAATGCAATAAAAAATTTGGAATGTGAAATTTAATGAAACTGAGAGAAAGAAAGAGAAAAAGAAGGACAATGCGAAAGAAAAATAATTGCTTAATTGCATTAATTAATTGTATGCAATTCAAAAAAAAAATCAATAAAACCAATAATAAAAAGTACAACAATAAAACGGTAAAAATAATTAATTGAAGAATTGATTTTATAGTCATTTGAAAACACTTTTAGTATTTTTATTGTTCATAATAGCATACGCAAACACATATTGAAGGTTGTTCACACAGTTGTGTGTGTGTGTGTGTACGGTATGTCAAATTGCTGTGTGCGCGCGCGGCGCTTATGCGTTTAGACGACACCAAAATTACACAATAATTAACGTTGAATGCAATTATTTTTTTTTTATTATTTTTTATTATTATTATTTTATTACGTTGTCGTCTTGCTGCTTCGGTATGTTTATGCACCAGTAAAAGTTAATTGAATAATTTTATCCTTAACCGAAAAAGTGTATAGAAATGCTACATTAATTTGTGTGCGTTTGAATTTCTATTGTATATGAAAATATATCCGTTAAACCAGTGACCCCTACAGAAATTTTGGTTGATAGGCGATTATGTTGAGATTGTGTTAGACAATTTGTGTTTCATGTTAAACGCCTAGCGTTTTTTGCATAAATATGTAAATTTTTTATTTTCATGTTATTTAAATACATTTGTAAATACTTATCAAATCACCAAGTCATAAGGTCGCAACAATAATATTGTGATAATTGGAGAACTATACAATAATAAACAAAAATAAAAGAAATGAAAAAAAAATTTAAACTTTAAAATTAATTCTGTATAAAACTTCTGTGACTGCGGACATGTATGAGATCGGTGTTTAAAAAATTTAAAATGGAAAAAAACCACCTTTTATGCCCATTTTCTGAATATTGCTGCCATTTTTTTCTTGTAGCAGTAATATTATTTGATACTTTTTGAGAAACAAATTTAAAAAAAAATTAATTTAATATTTTCTTAATTTTAAGTTTCGATTTTTAAAATTTTCCTTTACATGTAATGGGGAAATTATATATCAACTTTGGTCTGGAGGTATTATATGCAAGTACCAGAAGTAAAGAAAAATGTATACCAAACGAGTTAGAATGACGTGAAAATTGATTTAGCAATGTCCTTCAGAGTTCGTCTGTTTATATGCGAACTAGTTCCTTGGCTTCTAAGATTTTACACGGATGCACTAAATGCACATTTAAACGATCATCAGAACCGGCCAGACGGACGACCGATTTTTCAGATTTAAGATTTTGGGTCGTAAATTTGCAAACAAAAAGCAAAACATCTTTGTAAGTGCGTGGAATTTGATATTCTGCACACATATGATAGATTATACAGTAGTGCCGAAAATTATTGAAATCGGACGACTATAACATATAGCATTTAAGAGCGTGATATATTTTAGTGTTCATTAGATTACATTTTTCTTCTACTCATACAAGAGGCTGGCGGACTATCACTGCAGCATCTTCTAATCAGAATTTACTTCTAGAGTATATTTTGTAAGCTGACTCTTATTAACAGGTAGACCCGAAACGGTCATTTAAGCTTATTGACGACAATGCATGGCTGTGGAATACCACGTTTTTAATTTTTGGCAAAGAAATCACGAAAAATCAACACAGTGTGGGAGACGATGCCTGATATTCTGATATTATTCCCAGTTGGAATTCATGAAGCATAACACCTCGGTAATCGAGGATGAGTGGGAACCATTTTAACTAATAAAAATACCTATAGTGGTTTGTTTAGTACGTGTAACATGGCCAGGCAGCATGCCTAACGAGTGCTAGAAGCTGAAATGTCCTTTCTTCTGGGCCATTGAAACTTATGTAATAAGAGCTTGGTAAAAAAAAAAAGTGGCTTCCTTCTCCCATGACTTTGGTCACCGCTGCAGAGCTTTGGACAAGAAAGAGTCTATTGAGCACCAAGCATCACCAGAAAATGGTACTTTGATTACTTCGCCGAGTTAACCTTGAACCATTTCTGAAGCGATCCATCACGGGCGATGAAAAATGTATTAAATGAGGATTTTAAAACGAAAAAATTTTGGTCAAAGACCGACGATGCTCCACAATCGTCTTTAAATTGTGAATTTACTGCAGAGGTGTTGCCGAGTGTATGATGGGATTGAAAGAGACGTTATCAGTATATAATAGACAGCTACAACGTGGTGAAACGATCAATTCTGAGCACTACTCAGCAACAATAGATTTTTCAGCAAGCTCTTAAAAAATCGTCCATAATTTATTAACAGTAAGAAAAGGTGTTGTGTCTATGATGAGAACGCCAAACCACATCTATCCAATTTGACATCTTTTACAATTAGACAAAAATTGACTGGGCTTGGATGGAACGTTTTGATGCACCCTTCGCATAAATCCCGCAACGTCTGACTACTATTTGCTTCGGTCTCTACAAAACTTTCTTGGCGGTGCAAAAAAAGGTCAAACTAAGAGCCACTGTAAATCATTTGGTCAAGCTCTTCGCCGAAAAACAGCAAAACTTCTATACTGATGGAATTATAATACCTAACGAAAAATGCCAAAATATCATATATATTGTATATTGGCAAATATATACTGGCTTAAGTTATTTCTCAATCAAGAAAAATTTGGCTCGAAAAAAAATTAAGACAGATTTTTAAGCAAATTTGAAGTCAGAAAAACGAAATCAATTCATTAAAAACGCTAAAGACATTGCACAGTCTGTACATTTCAATGCTTTGAATAGGTTAAAAAGGGTAAACAAAAACATATAACGAGGCATTAAAGGCCTTTTCTCCTGGACCGTTAAAAATTTTAAATATTTAATATATCGCGACCGCGGTCTGACATTCGGAAGGCTCGGGATCAAATCCGAAAATTATGGAAAATTAATTTATATAAAAAATTAAGTTAATTTTTCTTTTGGCGGCCGCCCCTCGGCAGGGAATGTCCACCCTTTCGAGTGTATTTCTGACATGAAATAAAGCTCCTTATGAAAAAGACTATCGGCTATTCGGAGGCGGCTTAGTATAAACTCCCTCCATTTGTTGGAAAAACATCAAGACGCAAAAACCACAAATTGGAGGAGGAGCTCTGCCGAAAAATCGCTTCAGCGGCCACAAAGCGCCAATTATTATTATTATTAATATATTTAATATCTCCTCAAATGATTGGTGATTCTTTAAGTATTTACAAAAGAAATATTAAAATCTCGAAGGAGAGAGAAAGAGAACACAACAACCAAATTAGTAAATTAAGTATGTCATATAATACCTTTTTAAGAGAAAAATAAACTTTCTTTTGTTACAATTAACCTTAATCCAACAAACTTTTTTTTGTTATTTCATATACAATACAATTTTTGTTTTCTTTTGGTACTTGTTATTAACTTATGTAACTCACATATTTTAATATGTTAACAATTGTATAGTAAAAAATTATTAAAACAAAGTAGAAACAAATTTAATTCACACTTACGTTGCGGTTCATTTGAATCATTGTTGTTAACACTGTTAACATCAAGTTCGCTATTGCTGGTTACAACTCCATTAGCTGTATACATATTGTATGTACACGTATGTAGCAACACACGCATATGCGTGTGATGAGGAGGGACGTTGACAACGATAACGATGATGAAGACGAAGTTATTGATATGATGATCATGACGATGATATAGCAATTAAGTGACGTAGTGGTAGGTAAAGGGCCAAGCGTAGACGGACAAGTCGGAGACAAACGTTATGTCGGTACATATGTACGTATATATGTTATATGTGTATAACAAACGTTTTTTTTAATGATTTTGTTTTTGATTTTGATTTATTATAATGCAGAATTGTATGCAATCACATTCCGGCATTTATGATATTGTATATACGTTTATACATATGTGACGGATAGATGAAAATAATAGTAATAAATTGTTGACGAAGGACAGGGGGTGGGTAGAGGTAGATTGATGTTGATGTTGATGATTTTGGACGGCACACATTTTTTTTTTAAGTTTATTTGTTTGTTTCGGTTGTTTGTACGTAGTGGTTTCATGTGTTGGTGATTTTCATGTAAAAGCAAAAAATTTTATATAAATTAAAAATTATATAATATTAATATGTATATACAAAAGAAAAAAGATAATTGAAATAAATACAACAACACAATACAAATTAAATGCATAAGTAAATTAATAAATAATATAAACATAGTAACGAGAAACCAACAAAAAGCATAAGCAAATCATAATCAAAACGTTTAATATTAACAAAAAAAAAAAACAAAAAAAATTACAAAGTGAACGTTTGACAGGTTAAAAATTGAAACGAGCACAGTCTTAAATTAAAATAGGTTTGTAAGTATGTATGTTTAATAGAAGTGCCCGTTAAAGAGCCGCAAACTGCCTATAAGAAAATGGGCATACTTTAAAGCCTGCTTAAAGAATAACTTATATAAGAAAGATAAGAAAAATTATTTCGCATTGGAATTCTCTTAATAAAGCCTGTCTCGCAGCTAACTTCACTACAAAAGCGCTTAAAAGGGCATACAAAATCATATCTTCATTACTCATATTATGCAATTACAATGCATCATCACACATACACAGACACATACACACACTCATACTCATTGTACTTACGCTCTTGATCACTGCCATCTTCGCCTAGTTTCTCGTCCCGACTCTTCATGAATGGGAATTTTCGTGAAAATGTGAAATTCTTCTTCTTGCGATCGAGTGTTGATTGCTGTGTTGTTAAAGGAAAAAAACATCGTACCAAAAAAATAAACAAAATAAATAAAAAAAGTTTATTATTAAAAAAAATTCCATACCAAATAAAAGAAGAAACAAACTAACTACGGCTACTCCAACCGATCTAGCGCTACTGTACCTCATTACTGACCTTATCCAGGTTATTATTGGCTGCGGTATGACCTTGGAACTTAACGCTGCGATCGCGTGCTCGCATCTTTCGCTCCCACCGTCGTTTCGATGGCACAATACCGATTTGTTCGTCTTCACTGTCGCCTAACACGCGACGCGCCTGCCACCATTCATCATCGGCCGCATTCGTTACGTGCAGTATATCGCCATGGCGGAAGGGCAAACCACGCGATGGCAGTCCATCGTCACGATTCGGATCATAGTCGAAGAGCGCACGCACATATAGCGAACGTTTTTGTGAGGTGCGCAACAGTGTGCCAGTACCGCCGGCGGAGAGTGCTGCCTGTTGTTTCAGCTCTTGTATGCGGGCCTCAAAGCGATTATACTCTTCGGGTCGATATTGTGCGACCAATGTGACTACGCCACCGGAACTCTGTGAATGGAATGAACGATGTGGTTGAATGTTATTGAAAATAAATTTGAAACAATTAAAGAAAATTTTCGTAAGCTATCGAATACTTGGCGATAATAGACTTGATTTACGGTTTGCCTCGGTAGAAGAAATTCCTTGTGGACGATTCCACGTCTATCTTAAAAGACAGTAATCATCGTTTTCACCTTCGACTTGCTCATGAGAGCATCCACGGGTTCACGTCCCACCTTAAACTCTTTATGCCATCGAAACACCTGGGCGCGTACGTTTCGGAAGCTCTTTTGGCGCAAAATTTTATCGCGACGCGTTGCTCTTGATTTCGTTTTTCCATTTTCGTGACGAGCACCACGAACACATGATTACTCAACACGACACAGCAGGCTAACAAAAAAAAGCTAGAGCGGGGCAAATATATCAATGAAGAGAAGGATGCTGAAGAAGAGAAAGGGAACTTCAAGCTCACAGGGTTACCACAATCGCGGCAATATAATCAGTTAATCATTAAGTCACATCTCGTATATACGGACGGATCGAAACTTAATGGAAGAGTTGGAGGAGTTGTCTTCTCCAGTTATCCATTTATCGAGCTCTCTTTCAGGCTGAAATTTCAGAAGGCAGTAAATCTTTAGGCGAGGGTATCTTTATTTTCAGCTATAGCGTGACAGCGATTAAGTATTTAGCTTGGCTCACTTACATCAATTTCAAAAATTGAGCTCGCATCGATCTCTGCAGGAGATGACCAAACAGAACAGACATCTGTCATTTGGATTACTGGTCAGGCCAGGTAAAGCACGACCAAGCTGATTCATTTTAGAAACTTGACTTATAAGCGTGTTGAATTTAGAAGGCAAGAATTCTGAGCAAACTTGACCGAAATGGGCCCGGAGACGTTCACTTGAAATACATTCTCTGCAAAGAGAGGACATTACTAAGGTTGTGTAGTCTTAGCAGGTCCTGCGCGTGGCCGGGAGTTCCCTTTAAGAGGTGCTGCAGAAGCTTTAAGAAGCAACAAGAAATGCTATTTTATCTCTCATGTGATTGCACCGCCTTGGTCAAAACTAGGTACCAAAATCATCGATGAGTTCTATAAGACAACAGACATCAAGGTTAATTATCTAAAGAAATTTGTTATGTTATTGTAGGGGATGGGTAGTGAAGGTTAGTAATCGGTTAAACACCGTCGTATCACAATGTATTGATCTTTATACATCGACACCTACTTCAACCTAACCTAATTTATACATATATATATTTATTTCCCTACACTTACCTTCAACGCCTGCGCGGCCTCCTCGTGTGTGGCATTATTCAGACTGACATTATTCACACTCAACAGCTGATCGCCACGTTTTAGCTCACCACCAGCATCAGCTGGTCCGCCAGCCAATATGAATGAGACATAAATGCCTTGACCATCCTCACCGCCGACGATGTTAAAGCCCAAGCCTTGTGGACCCTTTTGTATGGTGATTGTGCGCGGTTCACTAGAAATGTGGAGTAAAAGAAAAGAAAAATAAAAAAAAAATTAGAGGAAATTGAGGAAACGCCAAAGTGATTAACACAATTACAAATAAATCTTATTAATAATAATAATAATAACGATAACGAAAATTACGTGTAATAAATACGTAATCAAGTACAGTAATACGAACAAGGCAGCCAAATATACATATATACAAGCTTATTCGTTTTGCGGTTTTGAAAATAAACATAAATAAAACTTTTCATGAAATTATTTTTATGTTATAAACTTGGAACCCTGGCATTGTATTTATAGGAAAAACTACATCATTTAAATGAACACCTCACGAGTTTTCGCAAGCTTCGCGCCTTTTTCTGTTGTTGTAACCGCAAAAATATTCCCCAAAGTACTTTCTGGGGAATGTTGCGGGAGTGATAGTCCTTGGCCGGATAAAAATCAGGATTGTACCGGCATAAAGACTCGGCTGTCTCGGAAACTATTGGACTTTAGTCGCCTCTTCCGATAGGCATGCCTTACCGCGGGTAAGTTCTTGAGCCCCCTAACCCGCGCTGTTTGTGGTAATTTTCGACTACTTTGTGGCACAAATTGGACGGTCTAACACTCATAACTTGGCGAATGCTAGTTTTCAAGTGATCAAGAGTTAAAGGTTTCTCCGCATAAAGAAAATTTTTCAAGTCCAACGTTGTCAAAGACGAGAGATAAGTGACCGGGAAATCTCTCTCACAGCCATTCACTTGTGTTATGAGGTATATTGAAACCACATATTGTCCCAGTTAGGTTCCTCAATTTCAGGGCAATAAAAAGTCAATAATCATACGACCCTAAGCTCCAAAATGACAGTGGCGTCCCGCAGTAAGTTTTTTTTTTTTTTTTTTTTTTTTTTTTTTTTTTTTTTTTTTTTTTGTAATGGTGTCTCTGTCGTTATTTGAGGATTCTCGGAGCACCGAATGCGAGAATTTTATTTATTTACATATTCCCCGAGTGGGAGATGTGCCTCGTCTGCTGAAGAAAATTTTTTTTGGTGAAAAATCGCTGTTCACGGCTTGTTGTTCCTCACAACCGATCGACGTATATACGGCGTTGCGAAATGTTGTTGTCTTAGCTAGACGATATAGGTGAAGTCCAAGTGCAAAATACGCCATAATCTAGATAAGAAACTCTCAGCACATGAGAAAGTCGAAAAATATGCAAATTCGGGTTTTATTTATACATTTACAGTAGAGATATTTGAGGGGGATCTGTAACCGAACCGTCTCCTGAAAATTCTTTAAATCTCAACAAGTGCTTAAGTAGTTTGGTACACCAAAACATCCTCTTAAAGCCAACATTGGAATCACCATTTATTTTTGTTGTAGCTTTCAACAACCTCAACGCTTTGTGCAGTTGTTAAGCGATCTATTTTCACAACAAATGTCCAATTTTTAACTAAAATAGAACATGTTTGGTTTGACAGTTAAATTTGACAGATGTCAAAATTCAGCCCGGTACTTTTGAATCCGCAAAATGGACAACCCTATATATGTATATTTACATATTTGTATGTATGTAGTTGAATGCAAATATAAATTATGCGTAATTACACAAATAAATAATCATATATAAAAATATGTTTGTATGTATGTATTTATTATACAGCTGTAGGCCATATTAGTATGTACGCGACGGACGACACAATACGCACTTCACGTCAAGTTCAGCCATTTGGGCGTTTTGTAAACGCAGCACGTCACCAACATCGAAGCTACTATTGCATGCTTCACTGACATTTTTTCTGCTCTTCAAACGCGCTGTCACTTTCTTCTGCGCAGACTTGGCGGACGTTGGTTCCAACTCCAACTCCAACTTGGCGTTCAATGGCAACGAATTAGATTTCTCGAGCTTATGCATTCTACGTAGCCGCGATATGCGCTCATCCATGTTGAGCAAATGCAGCTGCAGACAACTCATTTTCACTGTCTTCAATCACCAGCACTACGCGACAACAACGACGACGACGACGACAAAACGGAAAATAGTGGACGCGGCCACACACCCACCTGGGTCGGTCGTTAATTAATACTACCGGACGTGGATTTGTGGCGGCGAATTAATTCAATTAACCACCGATTCGATGCGATTACGTTTTGCAATTGACAACTTATTTAATGCAACACGACAGGCGAGAGCTAACGCAGCGGCCACCCGCTTTGGACTTGTCTACGCAATGAAATGTGCAATTATTTTCGGAATTCCGCTGCGAAAGCGGCAAACGACAACGACGACGGCAACGTCAAAGTCGACAGCGGCGCGCGTTTGCATAAACAAAACCGAGTTTTATTTTTTTTTTATGTTGAGTAAAAATGAAATAAAATAGAAAACGACAAAAAAAAGGTATTGAAAAATGCAAAATGGCAGAGAAAAACGCGCAACACCTTCGATAAATACAATTGCAGCGGGGAAAATAATGCAAATAAAACAATAACAACAACGATAAAGTCATCAAAGCGCACTGCAGCTGTAAAGTCAACGACTGTGCGGTGTCAGCGGCAGCGTCTGAGCCGGAGTCGGTGTCAGAGTCGTCGGGCCGGGCTACTTAACTCTAGGCTCTTGCCGCACTCTACAACACAGCTGTAACTATATATGTATGTCGCTGCGAAGCTACGTCGTCGCGCGTCATTTGACCAAACTTGTATTGAACAAAACTAAATAAAATTAAATAAATATATTTATGTACGCGTGTGTACGAGCATGTGTATGTATGTATGTAACTTTTACAAATATAAAAAATAATTAAAATCAAAATAAATACACGTTTAACGTTTGAATAGAAAAAGGTAAATGAGAAATAAAAGTAGCAAAACACAGAAGGAAATTAAGTAATGCGCGCGACGCGATTAAATGCGAAAAACTGCTCGTTAACAGAGACGCCAGTAGAGTTCGGCGGCGCACAGTGGGTCGGTTGTTCATACGTTGGACTGCTCAGTGGACTGTGGTCTCTTTAAATTTAATTTAACGGGTTACATGGGTTTAGTTTGTTCGGGGGGGGGGGGGGGGGAAATAATAATGGAATTCACTATTTAATTCTAAGCATTTTAGCTATCGCTTGAGCAGCTGTTGTCGGTAACTACGCGAAAAATCGCTAGCTAAAGGACGAATATTTTCCAGGGACTAGCGCCATCGACAAAAGGTTAAATAATTAATAAAGGAAAGTAGATCGGGAATTACCTAAGCAATAAAAAAAAATAATAATAATAATCAACCATGGATTTTGAGTATTTGGCATACGTTTTGTCGCTAGATCCATACCCTACAACATTGGATAGAAGTTAGCTTCGAGACCCTTTCCACTTGAAAGCAACTGAGTTTTGCCATCTATATGAATTAACCGCAGTTTTAGTTTCAATACTATTAAAATGCCATTGGAAAGCAACGTTGAATATTTATAAGCCAGTCGTCTACAAGCCGTTGTGTGTATCGCGTAATAGATGCAATCAGAGGCACGATGTATTTTTCGAATTTTAAAATATTCCGTTCTCCATAAAAGGGTTTTGCATCATCATCATCATCATCACCATCATGAGCCGCAGAAATCTTGAAGAAACCTATGGTAACCACTGTTGATACCATTGTTGATCGACAAAGGCCGAATTGTGCTCCATCAGGAAAACGCCTGACGCGTCAGATGCTCCAGAAGCTTGGGTGGGAGGTCCTAATGCACATACCTTAAAGTCCTTACTTGGCACCAAGTGATTACCAACTTTTCCTGTCCATGGGGAACGCGCTTAATCGAGAGAAGTTGGCTTCAAGAGAGGCTTGTGAAAATTGGCTCTCCGAGTTTTTTGCCAATAGCGACGCAGCCTTCTACGAGAGGGGTATAATGTAGTTGGCATCTCGTTGGCAATAAGTTTACGAACAAAACGGCGCATATTTGACTTAAATCGAAGATATCATACTTTTGAAAATCAATAAAAAAAAAAAAAACCGAACGAATTTTCATTTTACCTAATATTTGTAAATACGATATATAATCCTTATCTCCAGATGTTAGCGGTAAATACCATTTTGAATTAAAAAAAAATTATTATATTCAAACTATTTGCTGTCATAAATATGTACACTTATTCATAACTCCGTAATTGTGACGTCATTTCTGGTGACCAGTCGAAAAAAACGTCTGCGTTGTCAGTAGAATTCATGGTTGGATCATTCGGAATGAAAAAAATAAAAATGGTGTTTTAACCAATAATATAATTTAGAATTTGAATAAAGAGAAGAAAATAGTGAAAATTGCATTTCTGGCAGATCTTATTACATAAAAAAATGTAGGCTTTGGTTAAAGTTCAAAGATCAGAGACTACCTGACTTTGAACGCGCAACTTCCGGAGGCTGTTTCGCCGACACTTTTACAATATTCGAATCAAAATGATTTAAAGGAAGTGTCTGTTAGAAATTCTCGGAGTTTTTTTAATATTAATTTTTTAGATGGTGTAATTTTTGGAAAAAATTGCATATCGTGACGTTAGATTATTCCTTGTTAAGCAAGGAAAATCAGTTGTGACCACAATGAATGAGATGTCATTCAGTGCCTGGAGTGGGTGGATTTCCTAATGCTGAGGAGTGAAATATTTATTACTTATGATGAAGAGAAGGAGGTAGTTTCGGCATATTTTGAAGGTAAAGAGAGAACTTTTTTTATGAGAATATAAATTAATTATTGAAAGAACTGAAATCAGTATCCGTCTTGCGGCTAAATATATTGAAAAGGAAAAATTATTTGGGTTTTTAATTAATCATTAATCCCGCGAAAATAAAAACGTTCCTCATACATATGTATGTGTTTATAAAAATAAGAAATTTTCTACTGAAACCACTGTGCGTCGGATGCGGTCACATTGCACTCGCAAAACAATGCTGTACCCACAAATGACTTGTCAGTGTCGTTTACTTCGCTAATAGCTCGGAGTTGGTTGGAGACGAAAAATACACGAGCCAAACTTCAAACATCGCAAACGCACTCACTGACTCACTCACTCGCTCGCTGGCTGGAACAACATATGGCTGGTTGGCAAGCGAAATGAATGAGCAATGAATGCTGCGACTTCTCAGAGACGCAACAGCAGAATTTGCTTACCCCTTTGCACACCGACGCTAACCATTTATAAGCGCTACCAACAAACCGGCAGTCGGTGGGTTTAGACTGTTGGGCAATCAGTTCGTCAGTTGGTAAGTCAAAACGCAGTAATCAGCAGTTGTTAATGTGAATTCTCCGCACTGTGACGGCTATGAATCAAGCGTCTGCGTCTGCGTCTGTAAGCCAAGCAGGCGTGTGACGGATTCTGGCGGCGCAAGGTACACAGTTATAGAGATATGCGAGAACAAAAAAAAAAAAAAAACAACATTCAAATAAATAAGAGATAAAATAATAAAAAGACTCAGTAAGCTTTTGGGTATCCGCAATCATGATACAACGCCCCTTAGCGCGTCACTTGATAAGGTTAACGAGAGAGATAACGATGACGCCTCTCTAACTGGCATGTAAACAAAACATTGCGAAGAAGAATGTAAGGCATGCTATTTTGAATATGTAAAAAATCATAGGAGTACATTGTAGGATGTTACATAAGATACCTCTTCTGTTCGCGGAAGTTTTGTTTCGACTCAAGTTAATAATAATGAACGCAAATTGCGTCTCCAATAAAAATTCGACTCAATATAACATCCTTCTCTTCATTACCGAGGTCCAAAAATGCACGTTAACACTCTCCGCGCTGTTGTTTTTGTCGAGGCGTATGCATGCTCGGCACCTATCGTGCGATGACTAAGGTCAGGATTTTGAAAAATTTTGTATCGGTTACACCAACTATTTCTGCGAGTTGTTTCTTCTTTAGTCTAGCATCGTCGTCGAGGCCAATTTTTCGGTAAGTTCTGGTGTGGTGACCTCGATGCTCCTGCCCGGCATAGACTAACTAGAGAAGCTTGAAATCGAAATCAAAGAAGAAGGCTCCTGCATGCCCCACTACTTGGTACCAGAGGGAGGTAAGAGAAGAGAATGGCGAACAACTGAGACTAAGAAGGAATAGAAAATATTAACAGATTCACATCTCACCGCTAAATGTACTATTGGATGAGTGCATAAGTTCGTGCCCGATTCCGCTGGATGCCGTTCGAATCGTTTGAGAGTGGCGCTCGTGAAAGAAATATATATATATTATATATCGTTGGAAAGGTGACAGTCCGAACTGTAAATCAAGCATAAAATAACTTCATTTTGATTTGAGTTGCTTAGTGAAAAGACGCATGGAAGATGGACAACGAAAAAGATCATATGCGTCATATTATGTTATACGAATTATGAAGGTACTGCTGTGCATTTGGTGGGATATCCGAGGAGTGATCTATTTTGAGCAGCTGGAGAAACGATCACTGCCAACAAGTATTGTCAGCAATTGGTCGAATTGAAAAAGCAATTGATGAAAAATGTCCGATTTTGGCCAATCGCAAAGGAGTTCTTTTCCATCATGACAACGCCAAGCCACATGTTGTAAAACCGACCCTGGCCAAACTGAAGGAGATGAATTGGGAAATCATGCCGCTTCCCCATATTCACCAGACATTGCACCTTCTGACTATCATTTGTTTCGATCGCAGAACAATTTGAATGGAAAAAAGTTTAAAAATGTGGAAGACGTCCAAAACCACCTTGACACCTTTTTCAACGAGAAACCGCGCGATTTCTATGAATCAGGCCTCCGTAAATTGGTTGAACGTTTGGAGTGGGTTGCCGAACATGATGGCGAATACATAATTGATTAATAAAAGTGCTTTGTTCAAAAAATTTCAATTTTAGTTTGTATTTGAAATCGGGCACGAACTTATGCACTGTAAAGACAAGACCAACGACACGGTAACCACGTCAATAAGAGAGAAGTTGAGTGTATTGAGAGATACACGCTTGGCGTTTTCCTCAACATAGAAAAAACTTTTACACACACATCACAAGGCGCATTCCTCAGAGAGGACGTTGTAGGAGACAGGTGCAAGGACAATTTGCTAGATATCAACCCTGAAAACCACGGAATGGTATCTTTTCAATAGGTAAAACAAAGATCATTCTCTCTCTACTGAAGCCAAAAATATCAAGATAATTCAATTCATTCAATTGAAAATTTTAAGCTCAAGCACAAAGCGTGCATGAAGAAACCATGATTGCTCAAATCGAGATCGAGAAACGACGAATTCGTTATCGCCACTACGCGCGGTGAGTGTAGAGAAATATGGCTAATTGTTTTGAACCCAAGAGGTTATCTATTTTCATGTTGTTTATTATGCCTCTCTAACGGTAATTATGCCATTATATATAATTTATGTTTACTGTTGAAAGTGATAATTCTTAATATGTTGAAACGTTAAATTTTGGCGACGGTTCTTATCTTGTCAAGAAACTTTATAAATTTGTCAAAGTCAAATGAACAGTTTTTTATGAAATTTTTAAGAACAATGATTTCCGTATAATATGGCTATTATAACACAAGTGTCGCGCAAGTGGTGAGGAAGAAAGGTTTTATAAAGTGTGCCAAGATGTCGAATGTTTTTTTTAAAACCATCATCAATCCATTGCGGAACGTATTGATTTTCTACTTTAATTGGAAGAAAATTGCAGTTGAAGCTCATCGAATGCTTGTGGAAACTTATGGCGAATATGCCATAATTCATGAAGAGAATGGTTTTAAGTAGTGATTTTAGCGTCGAAGGCAAAACCAGACAGCTTGAAGATAAGAAACTGGAAGCTCTTTACTTGACCAAGATCCATGCCAAACACATACTGTATTCGCAGAATTATTGGGAGTGATTCAACAAACAATTTCGGTTCGATTAAAGCGATTTGGATTTACTCAAAATCCAGGAAACTAAGAGATGTCGAAAGTTGATTCTTGAAAGACATCATAGGAAGAGATTTTTGTAATGTATCTTGAAAAGTAGATGTACTAAGATTAGCCCAACAAGAAAAAGTACCAGGCCAAGCCTGGTGAACCCCTTCCATAATCGTTTACATCGATGGCAAAGACCTCAAGCTCTGCATACGGTGGTACCAGGCGGTAGTAATGTACTATGGGCCACTGAAACCAGGCGAAACCAGGCGTAACCATTGACACAAAAGGTTATCGACTACGACGAATGCGTTTGAGCTGTGCTTTGTTTCGAAATATAGCATAGAAATTTTATCTACAATATATACATTCTGACTGACGGATCAAACCACAGCCTAAACCACTTATCGTAGAAGCCTGAAACTTTTAAGGGCGTGTTCTGTGTATGACGTGGGCAAACTATAAGAAACGATTTTCCGGTATCAATTCAATTGAGAGTTAACACTCTTTGCCAAAAATGACAAGAAGCACAATTTTTCATTCGAGCAGTGGACCTGGAACTAAAAATTGTATAGCGCGTACTGCCGTGCGGAAGATCCTGACTGGGCCAACAGAAAAAATTATATGAAATTAAATTTAGAAATAAAAAAATATTTTTTCTAGATCGACGCATAAAGAGCTTTTCTTTACGGGACCGATAGCTGCTTGCTTTAGTCAGTATGCGGAAAACTTTATTTTCTCGAAAATGGACCTGGAACCGATCCTTCAAAAAAAAAAAAAAAAAAAAAACCATCTGTTGTGATGCGTTTGGAATATAGGTAGCTTTTTGCCTAGATTTTTATTTTAATATTTTGATTTTTTCCAGAGAAATGGATCAGGAATCGTTCTATTCAATTGTCTAGATATTTGGACACAGAATTTTGATTTAAGCAGCAGTGAAGGACCTTTTTTGCACGCGGTTGGAGATCGACTATAACTTAAAAAATATTTATTTTTTTTCTTCCAAAATTTCACTGTATATTCTTGAAGCATGTATAAATATATTCGTAAAATTTTGAAATAATTGATAAAGTATTTTTTTTTAATAAAAATTCCCAAAAATCACCTTTTTAGGCCATTACACTAGGTGTGCCCCTTAACAAGTTGAAATAATTAATACTTAAAATAGTCAAATAAATCAATAAATTCACCTAATAAGTCGTGTTGATTCAGCTTTATATCTTAAACCATATTCATCTACATACATACAACAAAAAAAAATAATAATTATGTGCACTTACCGGGTAATATCCTCAGTGCTGACGGCACGTGGCGTTCCGGGTGGCACAGCGGCCAATACATTCGATGACGCATACCTAGATGCTGGCTCTATATAGAATTTGTGTTTGTAAATAACAAAAACCACAGCGCGGAAATTGTAACAAAACACGCACACACAATACATTGCATTACGGATGGTAAATTTGTATAATAAAATACCACATTTGTAGGTAAATTTTTTTTTGTTTGTTTGTATGATTTTGTAGATGGGTGTTTTTTTTTATTTTTTGTAACAAATGATATTTAAGATGGGAGAAGAATAAGAGAAGAGTAAAATTTATAATGAGTTAAGAATTTTATATATAAATTAATTTTGATTTTAATAAAAGTTAAAAAAAAATAATAATAATTGAAAACATACACATGTACATACATACTAAAAACGTATGTAGTACAAACATACATATATTGCAAACTATGTGAAAGAATATATAGAAACATATTTTTTATACTTAAATAAAATCACTCAAATTTAGAGCGTAAGAAAACATTAAACATATTGTGGTTCAAGTTGAGCAAAGGAAAGTGAAATTTCTTTATAAAAAAAAAAAAAACAGATAACTTCAGCAAAGTGCTTATAAAGTAAAATTTTATTAAAAATTTTAAATTATAGAAATATTCTAAATATTTGCAATTCATTTGGCAGCACTCATCATAAGCAGCCATGGAGCGCGAGCGCGCTTATTCGGGAGCCATTGGCGAATCCATGCACGCAACACGCGCTGATGCAAAATACGTGATGCCAAGCGCATAATAAAATAACTTATATGCATATTTGCTTTGCACTTAAAACGCATTGAAAGCATATATATTTTGGCTTCGCATGCGTAAATAATAATAATAAAAAAATATATATAATTTTTATTTGAAAACTAGCTCAAAACTAGCGAAATACGTTCTAAAGCGCAAAAGCCAAAGCCTTTTTTTTGCATGTAATTTTTGGCGATAAAGCTGAATTAAGGTTTGAGTACAACTTTTGTGGTTTACAATTAATTTTATTTTATTTTGTGTGCTTAAAAAATATATATTGTAGTTAGATGTGTGTTTTTATCAGCTAAGTCAAGGGAAGAGTGGTTGCAGTTATGAAATGTAGTCACAACATGACACATTTTGAACGCAGTTTGTCTGCTAAGAAAACTCGAAAAATGTTTTTAGTGAATCCGGTTAGGATTAAAATACATTTACGATGTGCTTCTCATTATCTTAAGAAAAAAAAAACTCAATTCCGCCTAAGCTTAGCTCCCTATGTCATTCAATTTATATTACGAATAATTAGAGCTAGTGGTCAAGCAGCAGTTTTCGGCACAAACACCAACACTTTTGGACCTATATAACAGACTAGCCCCTTCATCTTCGGTTTTCTTGTACAGCCGTCAGCTCTGAATACTTCAAAAAGCTTATTGAAGAAAATATCACAACGCTTTTTGACGACAATTTGTTGGAAAATATCACGATGTACAAGACATTAGTTATTACACCACAACCAAGCCATATAAATATATACAGGGTTTTCCATTAAGAGGTGTTATTTTGATATGCAAAGAAAATTGGAATTTTTGGAAATAGACGATCGGGTGTTTATTTCAATGTAAAGAAAAGAAAGAAGATATGCTATTAATAAAGCCAATAAATAGCTTCATGAATTCCATCTTTGAAATATTCAATCGACATTGGCCAATTGGGGTAGACCTTGTCTTTCACGTGGCTTCCAAGGAAAAAGTCGCAAGGTGTTAAATCACAATAACACGGTGGCCAATTGCGATTACCTCTTCGAAAGATGACATGGTACGGAAACGTTTCCCTTAAAAAACCGATCGATAGATAGCTTTTGTGTCACATAGCGGCGTCTTGTTGAAAATAAACATTGTCCAGAACAATATCATACAATTCCAACAATAAAAAATAATTAATCATCTCTCGATAGCGCAATACATGCACCAAAACTGTTGCTACAGTCTCGTTTTCAAAAATGAAAGGTCAAATAACCACACCGGAACGTAAACCGCAACAAACAGTGAGGATGCAGAAGCTTTTCAATAAAAGATTTTGGGCTTTCCGAGTCCCAGATGCGACAGCTTGCTGTAGCCAACGAGGTGGGAATATTCCGCATCTGTCAAAATGATTTTTCGATGGAATTTTCATAGCGATTTTTAATAATTTCAACGCATTGTTGAAGCGTGTATCGTTCGATATTTATTATAGCGTAGATTTTACTTGTCAAATATCAAGAAATTACAGCTTAAAAAATGACATCTACAAAAATAGCAGGCAATATAAAATAGCGCCTCTCCATTGGAAAGCTATTTTTATTTATTGTATGCTAACAATATTTGGAACATTATTTATAGAAAGCTTGCTTGGGTAGGGTAACATTAACATTTTGACAAAGTAATATCATTAAAAACCATTTAAGCGTTTGAGAAAAAGACGTTGCGAAGAAAATTCATTAAAATATTGGGTGGATCTTATTTGGAGACCCGTTCAGGATAACTTATAAGGCGAGATTTCATTCAAGCTATTGGCCGCCAAAATCAAAATGCGCTCTGACTTTTATGTAACTTTCTAGTTTGTTTTAAAACAGCTTCTAAACACAACGCCAATGCGAGGAAAGCAATCACTCTTCGCACGAATATAACAAAAATAAGCTTACAGTTGCAAAAATAGCACATAAAGCACATAAAATCCATGTATATATATCACATGTGTGGGTCTACATATGCAAGTCTAAATACTGTAGCAATAATGTTTATTGTTTGTGTTGTGCTAATTATAAAGAAGTCAGTTTATCACAAATTACATTTACTATTATATTGCTTGTTGATATGTACATATGTAAATTGAATTGGATTGACTGAAGATTCAAATGCAAATGTTTGAATGTATGTACGTATGTCTGTATGTATGTATATGTGTATAAATGTATATCATTGACTGTATGTCGATATGTATGCATGTATGTAATGCATGCATCATTTTTTGTCTTACGAGGCAAAGGTGAATGGGATCTGGATGTTGATGCAGCAACAACACCAGCTGCTGCTACAGAGGGGACGGATACTGAGGATTGTATATTATTATTATTGCTGTTGTTGTTGTTGCTGATGTTATTCGTACTATTAGCTAAATGGCTAACATTGTTATTATTGTTCGTGGTGTTGGTAGTGGTGGTGTTGGTGATTGTGGGTGATGGTGAACGAGCAAAATCAACAACTGTTTTGCCAATATTATTTATCGCACCTGTTGAATGCGAATTGATCTGCGCAAATTGTGATTGTGATGAGCTAATTTGATGTTGCGTCTTGCCAACGATCAACGTTACTTTGTCCGTAATTGACTTGAGCGTGGCAACGGCTTGCTCATGCGTGACATTCTCCAAATTCGTTTCGGCCTGTAAATATAAAGAGAGAAAAATAAAAATAAAAATAAAAATAAAACAGAGCTTTAATGAAGAATTCCATAATTTCAAAGTTCATTACCGCATTTGTGCGCACCGCAATCAGCTTGTCGCCAATCGAGAGGCGTCCATCGACTGCTGCAGCGCCACCATCCATTATTTTCGTTACATAAATACCGTTATCGCCCGGTATATGCTGATTACCAATACCGCCGGCAATGGAGAAGCCCAAGCCCTTGCCACCTTTAACCAAATCAATTTCGATCACTTTTGGTCCTGCTGCAGCAGCAGCGGCAGCAGCAGTAGCAGCGCTACGTGGCAATGTGGCCGACGTGGCAGCGGTAGCATCACCAGCCGGACCGCCGCCGCCGCTACCGCCACCACGTTTTCGCTTCACATGCAATTTCACAACATTGCCAGCTTTTTTGAGCGCATCTACAGCGGACGCATGCGGTACATCCACCACGGAAACATCATTCACCGACACAATAATATCGTTAATGCATAAACGACCATCGGTAGCGGCCGCACCGCCCTGTATGAGTTTCGTTATATAAATAGATGTGTCCGTGCCGATGTGTGGATTGTCTGTGCCGCCTGCAATCGAAAAGCCAAGACCAGAATTGCCACGCTCCAATGTGATATCCTCATATTGCCAACTATCATCACCGTTCACCTGGAAAATTAAGAGGCATGCGTTAATTAATTTGATATTATGTGCAGGAGTGTGTTATGTTGACTTGGTTATGGTTTAGTTGTGATTAACAAATGGTATCAGTACAATAGAAACAACAACAATGCCATTAAACAACATATTTCCGTACGCTGCTGGAAAACAATGGACAGCAATGTAGATGAGACACAGACAAATACTTCACATTTTTAGAGATGGGATGACGAATGGCTTGGTAAATGAAATAAGTACAGTCAGTCGGAAAAATTCCAATGAAAAAGAAAACGAAAACGAACACAAACGACACAAATCTATTGATTTAGACGCATGCCAAGACGTCTCAAGTACAGCAAATTGGCACAATTTTCGACACTCTAAGCGACGGTGACGTCAAGCTTTGCCGTCGCGCCCAATCTCAGGTGATAATGTGTAAATTGTGCCAATTTACTATGGTTATGTGAGGTGAGAAAAACACTTGTTATCATGACGAGGTCGGTCACCAAGGCAACGCGCACATACATTGAGACATACAACAAACACAATCAATAGCACAAACAATAACCAATGCAGATGTAATGTAAGAACAGTTAAAATGAAATAGTTAATACATAAGAGTATATACACATACATACATAGATACATACGTATGTATGTATGTATTATAAATTATAATGAAAGTAATAAAAAAAAAAGTAAAAAATTTTCTTTGCCTTGCAGTGTACACCGCTCGCTTACCTTCGTCGAAGATGCTCTATGTATCTGCAAAGTGATAAAAGCAAATCAAGATATAAGAAATGAGAAAAATAATTGAATAAACGGAAGAAGAAATATTAAAAAAAATAATAATAAAATATTAAAAGGAAAAACGAAAATTAAATACAAAAGCGAAAAGTTCTTTGACATTTTAAATGACAATTGGAATAGGTAAACAAAAAAGATATATAAAAACAGCAACAACTGTATTTAGCGCAACTTCAATGGTAAAAGACCAACACATTTTTTGAGCTACGCTGTCCCCATCCACGTTGACCCATTGTACTTTGGAGACGGAATGTGAAGCTGTAGTGGTATCGACTTTCACAGCCTTCTCTTCGCCAGCCAAATGATTCGCCGCAGACAGGAAAAAATGGCAATCACTTGGTGCGAGGCTCGAACTATAAGATGGATGCATAAGATCGAGCCAACCAAGCGCTCGAAGCTTATGGCAAGTCACTATCATTGTAAGGGCCTTCCAAAACTTGAATTGTCACTTTAGAAGCTGTAATTTTTTGACATTTGAAAAATAAAAATCACGTCAGTAATAGAAATGGACTGATGCACGCTTCAACAATGCAATGAAATTATTTAAATTCACAATAAAAATGTCATTGATCGGATCAATAAGTAAAACTGTCACATCTGGCGCTCAGAAAATCCAAGATTTATTGTTAAAAAGCCTCTTCATCCGGTTTATGCTTCGGCATGGTCGGTGGGCCTTACTTTTTCGAAAATAAGTCTGGAGCAACAGTTATGGTGAATGGATTGCATCCTTGAGTGTTGATAAATGATTTTTTATTGCCGGCATTGGATGGTATTGATCTCGACAATGCTTACTTTCAACAGACGACGCCACATGCCACACAAGGTTCTTTGGATATCAAAATAACACCTCTTATAGGAGACCCCCTGTGTGTGATCTGACGTTCTGATGAAACGCAATACTCCTGTTTCGCTTTTGGGCGATTGCTTACTTAAAATGTTTAATTGCTGCCGGTACAAATCCAAATCAAGGGTTTGGCCACAGGGGAACAGCTCATGGTGGTCGATTTATGGTCAATCCTACCAAACACACAACAAAACCTTTCCGACTCTTAAATCTGGTTTGGAGACCGTTGTTGTCGGCTTATACTGCCTGTCGACCGCGATGTTTGATGTAATCCACTTTTTATCACCAGCCAACATCCGCTTTGGAAATCGGTCGATTTTCTTATGTTGAAGCATGGAAATTCGGTTCGTGATAGATTTTCTCGTTAACTCATGTGTGCCGCTTACATAGAGCTTGTTTGTGTATCCAAGCGTTTACAAGTGGTTTCAAACGATTTTTTGTGCAATATCATAGCTCCATCGCAATCGAAACAGTGATCGCATGACGGTCAGATACGACAATTGGCCTTCTCGTTATTTTTGAGTACACAATATCATTTTTCTAGCGCCATCTATGGTAATCCAATCGCACTTTTGGCATGCGAGATACAGATCACTAAAGCCATCTACTGCGGAAATAATTGATAACTTTTTACTTCACCTAAATATATATATTTGACGCTTGGTAACTGCTTAAGCCATTTCCGGCCGAGCTGCTTCTCAAATTTGTGGCCGCGTGTTAAAGTTTTTTTCCAAAAATGTAGGAGCCCAAAGCTGCCTCCAAACGGCCGCTGTAATTTTCATGTCTCAAATACACTCGGAGGGCTGAGCATTCCGTACAGCCGGGCGATCGTAATTAGAAAACCAAATTTTCTTTAATTTTAAATTTTTGTCGAACTCGAACCCTGGCCTTGCGAATGGCTGTACGCAATGCTAACCGCTCGACTACTCCCGCCGCCGTCGTAAATTACTCAATTTCACATTATGCCTTTCATTTCACCATCTTACGCTCAAACGCTTGTCCACAGCTGTCACCTATTTGACTTTTAATCTCCTCAATTACAATTAAGAGGTTTTTTTTGCATTAATTTTTTCATCCAGTAGATAAGCCATTTTTCTGAAATCTGCATGTTTGGTCATTCATTCATTGCTCATTTACACAAATGACAGAGGGGGGAATGCGAACAGCGCAGAAAAAACAGAAACACAAAGTCTTTACGAGACTTCCTGGCTTAGCTTGTGCGCATGATTTACACCGCGTCTTGGGTGAATGAGTGGCTGGCTGGCTGGCTGACTGGCTGTTCGAGTGGCGACTGGTTGCTGCTTGCTTTGCGACTGTTTCTTAAAATCGCGATGATCCAAAGTTGGCAACGAACACGGCACGGCACAGCTGCCACCGGACGGCGATTTGAAGTTAATTGACAAAGCGAATTTCGCCAAGAATGCTGCGCTATTGTTATTCAAATCTACTGCGGGCTGTGTATGTCACGTCTTTTTAACTTTATTTTCATATTTTTCGTTTTTAAATTTTTCTTAATTTTTTATTTATTCTTTTTTTTTTGAGCTTTCTGCGCATTCATTGTTATATTTAATGACTTATTGCTGTATAAAAAAAATTGTTTTTTTTTTTTTTTGTTGTGCTAATTGACTGTACGACAGGGTGGACTTATTGTGAATTGAAGAATCTTTCGATGTCTGGCGAATTCGCTAGCATTAAGCGGTCGCTAACTAGTTGTCCCATAAATTTCAATTGATTGCCTAATAAATGACTACTTGTTGTTGACCATTTTAAACGAATTATATTCTAATAATAATAAGCATTCACAATCAAATTACTATTTATGAAATTATTTGGTGAAATTATATAATTTAATAAAAAACAAGGTAATATTTAAAACACAAATATTTTTGGAAAATTTCTACAACTCGGAAGATATCACTTTTTCTAGGGCGAGCCACGGTTGAAGAAGCAAACTGGCGTCCGATCATGAGCGTGTTGGTTAATGTTCGAGGAAGGTAATCAGTTATCTCTAGGACCTTTCTCATTTCATCACTGAAAGAAAACTAACCTTGTCCCCACGACGAAATCAGCGAAATCTATAAGTAGTTCGATGAAGGAATACCGGCTAGAACTCAATCTCATGGTGGACGTCGTAACAATATTGACAGTTACTGGGTGTGGCATTCGACTGTGTGCTCTTCTTTACTCCGCACATGACCATAACTACTGTACTACCAAAGGACAGAGCTGCAATAAAATTCCGAAAACGCTAGCTGACAATGCTTGGTTTATGAACCAAGAAATATTGGCGAAAAAGTACAGTACAACGGACTCGCCGGTCAGTAGCTACACTGCGGCCTCACCTGCTTGAACGTCTGGGATGTATAAGCCAAAGACGAGGAAACGTAAGACCGCACTGATATTCACAGTGGCTTATATACATTGTAAGAAGTACCCGCCGAACCGCTGGCTTGCTAAGAAGGGACGTACTCAATGCGCAAACTTAGTATAGAAATACTTAGCGAACCGCAAGACTCGTAGAACGTACATGCATACCTTAGAAGGCAATCACAGAATGTTTGTACGCCAACGTCTTTACCTGCTCCACTGAAAACGAAGAGCTCGATTTGTCTCCAGACATTCGCGTAATGTTGCCACAACTAAACCATGTTAAGCTTCTTCGTGTGTTCTATATGCAACGAGTCTGCATTACACTAACCACCGTTTTGCTCATCCAACTGCACACTCTGTTCGCCTGGTCGTACCGAAGGAGTAAGTTTCTTGGGCTTCTCGTTAGATGTCGTCGATGGCATCAAGTTTAAAATATTAACATTCTACCGATGGTGAGTGCATTGCACTTCTGAGCTATGCCACTGTGTCTCACAACATTGGAGCTCACCATGAGGGACCCCACGACCGGAATAGCCGTTCGGCTATCTTAATCGAAGCCTTTGTAACAGCTTGTTCTGCATGAAAAACGTTGCAATAGGCGGGAAGCCGAAGCTCTCCAACGCAGAGTAATACTCGACAGAAGACTCATGGACGAATCTTTCTGTCTAGCTTCTTTTATCTAATGTATACTGTGCCCATTGTACTTAGGCGAAAGAATCATGTTGGAGAATGAGCCGCTCTCAGCTTCAGCTTGAGCCGACCAATGATTCAGACACCCTGATTTTTGCTGGTGAAAGCATCACGTCCGGATTTAAGTTGAATTTGTATTTTAATTGGAAGAAAATTGCAGCGCCGACCGATAAGTCATACAGAGAGTGTGGTTTTGACGCTTCAAAGTAGTGATCTTAGCGTCGAAGACAAAGAGCGTCCCGGTGAACATAAAAAGTTTGGAGATGCGAAACTGGGAGCCTTACTGGTTCAAGATCCGCGCCGCTGAACTCGGAGAATTGTTGGGAGTGACTCAACAAAGAATTTCTAAGTAGTTTGGATTTATGCAAAAGTAAGCAAATTGGATGCCACACGAGCTGAAGAGATGTCTAAAGACTATATTTCTTCTGGGAAATGCTTCTTGAAGGACATCTAGGAAGGGTTTTATACGAGTGATCCTGATTCTAGATGTAAAGTGAATAAACAAACGATTACCCCAAAGTGGAAAAATAATATGCCAAGCCTGAGGAGCTCGTTCCGTCATCGTGTGGTGTACTATGAGCTGCTAAAACCAGGTGAAACCATTGATGCAAACCGATTCGACTAAATCTAATAATCAGAAGCGACGGAAAGACTTGTCAAGGTGACTTTGCAACATGACAACGCTCGGCTGTAAAGTTCGAACAATACTTGGAAACCAGGAATATGGAGGTCTTATCCCACCCGCCGTATACTCCAGACCTTGCTGCATCCGACTACTGGCATTTTTAACGAATACAAAACGATTTGGTACTGGTGATGAAGATATTAAAGAATGACCGAACAACTAGATCGAGTATAGAAAGGAGGCATTTTGTAGAGATAGTATTCGATGGCGGCCGCGATAGCCGAGTGCCTAGGATTGCGTGTTGCCACTCGGAAGGCCAGAATACGAGCCCTGGTCCGACCAACATCCAAAAATTATAGAAAATTAATCTTTCTAACTGCAGTCGCCCTTCGGCAGAGAAAGTTAAGCTCTACAGTGTATTTTTGTATC